CTCTACTTTCTTTAACTACCTTATATCTTCGAAAAATATTTATCAAATAAATTTTTGAGTGAGTTGAGTACACCACCAATACATTAATATCTTAGGTATAAAGTTTATAATATGAATCCTCAATCCTTAATCATATAAAAGCACACCATCAATTAAAGATTAGATAGGTTTTCATATTAATCATAATTATATAAGACACTGAGAATTGGTCAAAAAGGCATCCACCTATTTTCCTTTGCCTTTACTTATAATTAGATTAATTTTTTCCATATGATTGGTGTTGGAACCACTTTTTATTGTCATTTACGAGCTCATGAAATTTATTTCTCTATAATTGTGTGATCTTTCCTAGTGACATGGCCCGATAAATAATAAGTATGCAATGAAATAATATACATTTTTAAATTATTAAATTTTATTCTAGACAAGTATATACGGAGATACTTGCATCAATTGCATGATGTGAATCGTCAAAATTACTGATACAATGAGAGATAAAGAATTTTTTTATTGCTCTTAGCATGACTAGTCTTTGGATGGATAGATTGAGAGCTAATGATACAAAATCCATAATAATTAACCTTATTGTTTGACTTCAATTTAATATTCATCAAAGAAACTATTCTTCAAAAAAAAAAAAGATTAGATAATCATGCATCATTCTTGAACAGTCCATGACAGCTCAATTTTCATATAGATTGGTGATTGAAATTAAACTGTATGTTGTAGAATGACTTCCTATTCCTTGTTAATGATATATTGTTCAAGTGCTCCACCAAACGTCGATGTCCTCATTTCTCTTTCACAATCTTATTGTCTCATTAACCATCATGCTACCATCGGTACATATGATGCCACTGGTCTTGCTGTTTACACCTCAACGTGAGTCCACAGCCACATCCCTCTTCTACAATGAATGAAGACCCCAATGCCAAACGTCAATCAATCAATATATTTATGTATAAGGATATTCATATGGTTTCAGAGAATTCAACATTAGAATAATTCCTCTCTTTTTTTTCTTCTTTTTCCTTAGAATCAAGAAGATATAATGCTACCTTTTATTTTTCCCTAGTAATTAAATTAAATTATACTAAGTGTTTTGATAGTACTGAGTCGCACCAGTCTACTCTTCTTAAGCTAGAAAGTGATGTCAATTTTGATCTTTATTGGTATCACAATGTGAGCTATTAAACTAATAAATGGAGCTCTCTTCATTGCTTTGTTGGGAATCAAAGTGTTGCAGTTCATACTTTAAACATCATTGTTTAATTATTAAACATCCTTGTTATGATGCAATGCACCGACAACTTCTCTCTTGGAAGACAAAGACATGATCCCACCTTACCCACATTCACAAGAATGATAAAGAATTAACAAAGAATAGGACTGCTTATGAGTTTGCTATTTTTCAATTTAATTTAATTTAATGAGAGAATACAATTGAAATATATATCAACTAGCTTAGTTGGTATAGATCTTCATTATTGTATTGATATAATAAGGTCCAATGAAAGTCTTATTCCACTAATTACATGTGTGCTCATACTCACGTTTTATAAAGCTATTAGCTAGCTTAGCTTAGTATGATCCCATGATAAAATATTTTTGTCTTCACTAGACATTTCTCCAATCAAGGCTCTATTGTTTTCTTGCCCTTTGATAATAAAATGATTTCAAAATAGGTTGAGTGTCTATCCAATATTTATTGATCATAAATTTTTATGATTCAAGAATAAAGTGAATATCTATCTATCGGTAGTAAACATTTGAATCGAATAAATGGATCTTCATGAATATCCATACTTTGGAATGATCAGCATCAAAGACTAAATTTATGAGCCATCGTATTTTATTTAACTACCATAATCATGTGTATAGTCAATTGCTCAAATTCCATATAAATTGTTCAGTCTTCTCTACCCCAAGTTTGATCTCTATATTACCTTTTAGAGAGAGATAGAGAGTAGCGTTATTCCTCGTTAAATATTGAAATGTTGTTTTATTTTATAATCTGATTTTTTTTTTTTTTCCTTTTCACTAGGGAGAAATTGAAACCTTGCTTCCTGTCTCTCTACATGTCTCGATGATGTATGAACACGTAAGGAAGTGTCCGTTTCATGCTTATCAATCAGAAAACAAAAAAAAAAAACAGAAAAAAGAGAGAAAATATTGCTTTGGCCGATGTTTTCTATCATCCATTTTTAAATAAAAAAATGTTCTATGAAAATAAATGAAGCACACTTTAGTCTTTATTATCATAATCGGAAAAATATATAGATAAATATAAATGTTTTGTCTGAATTCACAATCAAATAAAAAAGGGGAGAAATTATTATTAGCTTCTCGATTAAAATATTAATGCCGTTATTTTTAGTTTGAAAATCAAACATTATAAATAATAAATATGAAAATATCTACCTTTATAAGTGGTTAAGGATTAAGAACGAATGATATTTCATTATGTATCCATCGTCAATTTTATCAAATAATTATTGCTTGAAGCATAATTAATTATAAACCGAGAAACATATATAATATGATAATTATTTGTTGGTGATGATATATTTATAATCTATCAATAATGAGAACTTGTTAGCCACCCCACATGAACAATATACAAACTATTACATTACGGGTGAAAGGTCTCAATCATGTTCTTCCCAAATAATTTGTACTAAATCATATGCATCAAATTCCATATGAGCTCCGATCCTTATTTTTGACGTGGACAAAAGAACACAGCAGTTGTTAGGTAGAAGCAACTTAAATTGTTCTACTTGCAGCCTTTCTATATCTAATCCACTATTAATATAAATATAGAAATTTTTTAGATTGAGGACAATATATATAATCAAGAGTCTCAAATAATTGAGATATTACCAATTTGAACTAGTGAAGAAAGAAGCCATAGTATATATAGGTAGAGAGATGCAAATCCCTAAATCAATTAGTGTTGGAATTCTTCGAATGAAATCGAAGTCGTATGCGAAATTACTTATATTTACAAGGCCTGAATACGAACGAGATTGTAGCGGAGATGGCAAAGGAGGCTGATGATTGAATCGTAACAGGGTTGGAGATTGTGAACAAGAATGTCGCCCACATTGCCATCCGCGGGTCACATTGTCTTGTGACCCATCCAAATCATGGTACAATTGTGAATCACGACACATGGCCAGCACCGCGTGATGCATGCACGCATCTTGGCGTGTATAACTGGTGCGGCAGCATTATTAGGACCCACGTGAGACCACCCCCACGATGGTGGCGAACCCGGGTCCGCCCAACAGTTTCCTCCCGGTCGTAGGTATCGACGCACACGCTGCCCTACCTGTGTCGTCGTTCGTTGGACGATATCTGGGCCCACTGCTTCAACCCGTTATCAGGAGGGGGTAGGTGGAGATATTAGAGATCGCAAAGCGGGGAAAAAAGTTGAGGACCATTTTTTTTTGCCCCATCAAAAAGCCGCGACGGCCCCCACACCCACACCCCCCACCGCCACCCCCCCTCCACCCCCCGCCCCCGGGTCCGTGTCATAGAGTCAATCGGGGCCGTCCACATCGGTCGCAGTTTCACGGCGGCCGTCAAGCGATGACCTGTCTACGTTGGCTGGTGACGCGGGGCCCGCGGATCCGACGGCCTCGGTCTTCGCACCACTGGAGCGGTTCATCCTGTCGACGACACCAAACAGCTTCTCTCACTTGTCTTCGGAGATATCGCCTGAGGCCAATCACGCAAAGGTGAGCGGTGAAGAAGTGCCTGTTCTCTGCTCTATGGAGTGTAGCAGATCTTAACCCAGGTAATGACCCTACACGGAAGCACAACAGCTTAGTCTCAGATCTAAATTGTACGTGGCGAACCGTGAAATGTCTATGTTACCCCTATAGATTGGCATAGTTAGCCCCAAAGAAACGCGCCCGTCTGTGAAGCCCCCACATGTCTGCCTATTTACGGGTTACCGGCCGCTTCCTGCCGCTTCCTTTAGGGCTGTGATTGTACCGGCGACGGGGCCCACCTGTGGATGCATCGCTTCCCTCAATCAGAGACAGGTAAGGTGACCGTGCAAATGCAACGAGGAGAGGAGTTTTGGGAGCTCTCTGGATTTCAACCGTTAACGGAACCGCATAACACGTAACGTATCGGATGGACGTGTATCGTATCGGTTCAGGTGCCGCGTCTCGGCGCTTTTAATTCCGTAAAGTGCAACAAAAGGCTGGGTCGTATGAAAGGACGGAAACAGCCTCCACATCTGGGGGAAAGAGGGTATTTTGGAGATTCAAGAGAAAGAATGATGGTTATTTTTTATGCGTAGGCCAGCTTTACCCTTTTACCGTATCTATGATTACTTTTGACGGCCCGGATTCCAAGCCACAGTTACTGCAGCGCAAGGCCTTTTGTTATTGCATAGATAAAGAAGAAGAAGAACAAAATATTACATGAATTTAATGGGAGGGAAACTGCACGATGGCAGTAGCCTGGACATGAACATTTTATAGCGAAGAGAGAGAGAGAGAGAGAGAGAGAGAGAGAGAATTTTGGAGGGAGAAAGAGAGAGGTGGTGGTGGGGGGGCTCACTTCGATCACTTCTTTTTTATGATGCACGCATCCATGGCAGAAGAGGGAAAGAAAGCAACCTAGAAGAAGAGGAGGAAAAAGAGAGAGACAGAAAAGAGTTTGAGAGGAGTACAGGTTGCTAGTGCTGCTTCCCCTGCTTCTCCCTCTTTCACACAACCCAGCCGGACACACACAGCGCATTACCAGAGAAGAGAGAAGATAGGAGAGATTAAAGGAGGTGAAAGAAGAAGAATGAGTAAAGCTTAGCTTGCAGTTGTAGGTAGTCGCATATGTAGACGTATACTGAGGAGGCAGAACAAAGTAGAGATCTCTCCTTTGTCCAGCTTCTACTGTTTCGGCGCTCAAAATCTTTGTTTTTTATGCCCTTCCTCTCTCTCTTGAAGCGAAGTAAGTAGAGACTTTGATCTGGCTTCTTGCATTAGATGAGGGGTTTGCCCTTTCATGACCAGGGGAAGAGGGGTTTAGAGGCAGTGAATACCATATTAGAAGGGAACCAAGCTCTCTTCTGGGTGAATAAGAGGCCAAAGTTGATAATCCCAGAGGTTGTGGAGCCAAGATCGGTACTTGATCACAGAAGCCCGAGTTCTCCCACCTCCACAGCCACACTGTCTTCTTCTCTAGGAAGCGGCAGCTCCTGCGACACCGCCGTAGTGGCGGCGGTCTCCGGCAACTCCGCCAACAAATGCTCCCTCTCCGACTCCCGCAGAGGTGCGGTCGGGAAGGAGGAGTGGGCGGCTGAGCTGCAGCCGGTACCAGCCGGTCTGGACATGGGCTTCGTTGCAGGAGGTGAAAGGTGCGGACTTGGGGTCGAGGACTGGGAGGTGATGCTCTCGGAGACTTCGGCGGCCTCCCATGGCCGGGAGCAGACCTTTCTCCGGTGGATCATGGGCGATGTCGAAGACCCCTCTGCGGCCGGGCTTAAGCAGCAACAGCTGCAACTGCTCCTCTCTCAGGGGCCAGTGGATTTCCCTGGCAACAATGGCAACTTGGGGTTTGGGATTCTCGACCCGGGTATTGGGCTTGAACCCATTGGAAGGATCCTGGATGATCCCTCCGTCTCGGCGTCCACCGGTAGTTCTTCCCCTTTAGCTTCTAATGTTACTACTGGTGGCGGCTTTTCGCTCGGCAGCAGTGACAGTTGGGTGTCTCAGCCCTTGGCGAGCACCGGCGTCAAAGGGGCCATCTCCGGTGACCAAGCCGGTAGTCAGCTCTTCTCTCCTCAGCCTCCGCCAGGCAGCACCTTCTCGCCGATTCTCTCTCTACCGCCAGGTATGTGCTTCCCGAACGCCATGGAGGACAAGCCGCAGTTCTTTGGTCCAGAGCTTCTCGTGAACCAGCCATTAGCCAACTCGAGCCCTCCTTTCTTGCTCAATGTGGGGCAGCTGGAGCACCAGCAGCTGTCGCACCTCCTCGCCACCCAACCGAAGCGCCATCGTCCGGTGGTCGACCATGTTCCGCCAAAACTTCCCTTTCTGGAATCTGGCGGGAGCTGGGACCTCTTCCTCCGGCAACAGCAGTCATACCCGCAGCAGCAGCAGAGTCCGAGCTTTCTTCAGCAAAGGTCGGTGAGTCCGAAGGTGGCGGCTCTTGGGGATGATGCTACGGCAGCTATGGCCACACCGCCGCCGCAGCAACAGCAGCTACAAAAGTCGGTTGTTGACCTGCTTTTCGAGACTGCAAAGATGGTCGAGGCCTGCAATTTCGTTGGCGCGCACGGGATATTGGCGCGGCTCAATCACCAGCTCCCTTCGCCCCTGGGGAAGCCCCTTATCCGCTCTGCTTTTTACTTCAAGGAGGCACTGCAGCTGATCCTCTCGAACAGGTCGAACCCTGTCCTCCCTTCCACTCTGACAGCCCAACATCAGCAGAGCCAGATCTCGACTGCTCCCCTGTCGACTAAATGGGACGTCGTGCACAAGCTCAGTGCTTACAAGGTTTTCTCTGAGGTCTCCCCCATCATCCAATTCTCCAATTTTACCTGCACTCAAGCCCTCCTAGAGGAGCTCGGTGGCTCTGACCGTATTCACATCATCGACTTCGACATTGGTTTTGGTGGCCAATGGTCCTCCTTCATGCAGGAGCTGGCCCTGCGGCGCTGCTCAGCGGCAGGTCCAGTGCGGTTGCTCAAAATTACAGCTTTTGTGCCTTATCGCTCCCAGAACAACCTTGATCTCTGCCTCGTCCGGGATAACCTCTCCCATTTTGCAAGCAACGTCAACATCCCCCTTGAGTTTAGTGTCCATAGCCTTGATTCGTTTGACCCCTTGAAGCTCCTTGGTGCCGGAGGTGAAGCCATCGCTGTAAACCTCCCTGTAGGTTCTGTGAACCTTTCATTCACAGCTCTCCTCCGTGTTGTAAGGCAGCTGTCCCCGAGGATCGTGGTCTCAGTTGACCAAGGTTGCAATCGGAGTGACCTACCATTCTTGCAGCACTTCATCCATGCTTTTCAGTCCTCCATGGCACTTATGGAGTCCATTGATGCGTGTGGGATCAACCAAGATACGGCTAGCAAGATTGAGAGATTTCTGTTACAACCAAGAATTGAGAGTTCTGTTCTTGGGCGGCACCGTGCAGCTGACAAGATGCTTCCCTGGCGAATGCACTATACAACAACAGGATTTGTCCCCATGCAGTTCAGCGATTTTACAGAGACGCAGGCAGAATGCCTTCTCAAGAGGGTGCAGGTCAGAGGATTTCATGTGGAGAAGTGCCAGGCATCGCTTTGTCTTTACTGGCAGCACAAGGAGCTCGTCTCTGTATCAGCTTGGAGGTGCTGAAGAACTACCTTCTTACAGGCATGTCATCCTTTGTACCTTCTTCTTGCAAAGTTCTAGCAGAGGTTGGCACATAGGTACTCACACTTTGTTTGGTCTAGATGTTGTCATAATGTAATTTTCTATAGTAACTACCACTTTTGGTGTCCTAATGTTGCCTCTCTACTGATCTCACTGCTTGATTCATTTGGCTCTAGAGGAATTTGCCCTGTGGTAAATTGGCACATTGGAGATCAGTTGGAGTTCTTATGTATCTGTTTCTATTCATGTATGTCCATGCTGATAATTATGCCTAATCGTGTGCCAAGTTATTGTTATTTAGTTAAGATATTAAATGTGATGAGGTACATGCATTTATGAACTTTACATGTTTGAGGATTCATGCATCATGAACTTTTGGTAGATATAAGATATCATGAAAACTCTCGAATTGGTTGCTGATAGTACTCGCATCATCTTAAGCAAAAATGAGAACCACGTTGCTGAATCTGAAAGAATCAGTACATAGTTATTGCTGATACACCCAAGTTTCATAATGATCATGTTCTTAGACGATGCACAGATACAGGTAGAGTTCGGGCAAAACATAGGATCTGAATCAGTTCTTAGGTTGTAATCAAATAAAAAATTAGAAGAATAGAGAGAAAAATAGATGCATTCCTTGACAGATGAAGATGATGAAGATTTTCACTGTATCAGAGAGAAAAAGCAAAGTACATGTGCTTTTCTTTCAAATCCTCTTACACATTTTCTTTGGGAAAAATCTCTCCTTTTTCTCTCCAAAGATTTCTTGGAAAAAACGCTCTTACAAAATGGTTCTCTCAAAAAACCTAATCACAACATATGTATTTATATGGTCATCCAGAAAAAGGAAACAAAAATTCAAGCCACATCATAACAGGAAGATGTTCATTTAAGACATCAAAATATAGGAGTGTGAATGTCATCTGTCTAGATCCCATGGAGAGAGTGGTGCCTGTTATAACTAGTGGTTGACAATAGAGAGTATCAATTCTTTTTTTGTATTTGTTTGTGTAAAACTGTGATAAAATTAGAGATTCTTATTCTGCAGGTGTAGTCTAAAATGTCTAGGTTATCATGCTATATCTTTTTATTAACTTATGTTCAATTATGCGTAAGTTCATTTCTGCTTCTTTAAATTTTTGTTTCATGGTATTTTTACTTTATAATCTTGATTGCAATATAGGGTCCTTTGGTGCAAATTTTCTTATTCGGACTGATCACTCATGGAATCACATTGGTGAGCAATTAGCTAAAATTAATGACCCATCCTGATCAGTTTGCATGAGGCAGCTGGTCCTTTTTTAGCTATAGTTCGAACTACAATGATGCATCTGAAATGTAAATTATATTATCCTTTGTAGTTCGGTTGTGTCCCCTTGAGTTGTTTCAGTGCCATAAAGCCATGACTGCTGGAATGAAATAATTTATCAATGCATTCTCTGAACCTTAATGGTATTACTTGAAAGATTTGTTCTTTCCGAGGTCCTTGGGTTCTAATTTAGTCTCTCACTACTAGTTTATTTCATTGAGCTATAAATTACTAGCTGATGTATTCTTGTGAATAAACGCCAAATAGAAACACTAAATATCTGCTAACTATAAAAACCAAGTCAAAATTACCCTGAAGTTCAGATTGTTTTAGAATATATGTCATGCATATGTGTATCGTTCCTGTCTTGTAAATGTTATTTGACTCCACTCCAGTTGATTGTCTTCAGGTCATAGTCACCTGAAACATGAAACTTTTTTTCTGCCAATTTATTTGTCTCAAATTGAGTTGATTTGTAAATCTAAATGATGTCAAAAACACTCCTACAAAAGTTGTTTTGGGGTGCAAAATTATCATAAATCAGGATGAAGAATCCTGATCATGGTTGTCAAAGTTTGATGGAACCTGGTATCTTACACATCACATATTACAAGCAAAGTAATATCTTCCTAATTGGCTGGAATCGTCAAAGTCTATGTGGTCCTATGTTTTACCCAGTTTATGTTACTGACGAAGATATATACCTGGATTGATGTCTTCATAAGTGTGATATTTTTTCCTGGTGAAAGTTCAGGCATATGTTAAGATGTTTCAACAAGTGACTAGCATATTGACTTGCAGGTTTGTAAAAAATGCAATCTTGTTTAGAAGTCTCAGTCGAGAAGCGCTATTATAGTTCCTATTTGTCATTCTTGCATATGTGGTCATGTTTGCTTTTGTTTGTACAGTTTGATATTTGTATATTCTCAGTGTTGGCATGCTGTCTTCTTGTGCACTGAATTTTGGTGGATCTAAACAGGAAGTGACATCCATGCTCGAACGTCTGCACATGGTGTAAGCGGTCCAGTAGATGACAGAGGCTGCTGGGTGGTGACCTGCCACTCACTGATGTGGGTCCAAAGCCCATGTTTCCATGCATGAATGGCAGGTACAATCTTGCTCTTGATGTAATGATTCATTGCATGCAGGGCTAACACCAGACAAAATCGTCTAAAATCGTCTAATCACGGTTCATCAGACTAAATTAATGCTTTCCTTGTTGATCCATCACATGGTCACTGTATCCTTCCACATGATACTCAAGGTATAGCTACTTTTTTTTATGAACTCCTGTCCTTCAGCTATGCCCTTCATCACTTTGTTTATTTCCTCAGTTCCTCCATTAGTTGAAAAGCAGGTTTACTTTCGGTTTATGTGGACTGGAGTTTGTCTTCCCTTCTGTGATATATAAACTATGCATGTTGTAACATAGATTCATCCTTTTTGGAGTAGGCTAAGCTCCTTCACAGCCACCCAGGACGACCACAAGTGATGGCCTCTATTAATCTGGTTTACTTGCAAGAATTGTGTTTGTTGTTATTCTTTGTTTGATGTTTCAGTGGACACTGCCACTTTTTGTTTCTCTCTCAACATCCATTGCGAGTCTAAGCTTTCACAGTGGTGGACAAATGGGTCAGAGCAAGGAATACAGCCAGGGAGTTCCATTGGCACAACAGTGTTGACAACTTGTTACATTGTTACATACTGTCGACTGATCCACTGATTGGGGCCAGGTTGTGTTTCTGGATGGTGACAGTGCCATTGCTGCTGCACCAAACTGATCAGTCTTTTTCAGGAAAGATGAGGGCAGAGGACCATTCTGTCATGCACAGCATACCTACACATTCCGGTGCAAAAAGAGATGTGGTCGAGGGATTAAACCTTCCCAAGGACTCTTTTGAATGCATTGTGGGCGAGGAGGGATTCTGGTGGTCCTTTCTGCAGTCGCAGAGCTAAAATACTGGGGTAGGATTTCGATCAGTCCGTCTCTGGATAAAGGTTTGGGACAGAAAATAAAGTGCATGAAGAAATGCCCCCTTGGGTCGCAACTCACCATGAGTTGATGCTCATCAAGTGTTGGGTAACCCAAAGCAAGGGCACATCACCGATCAACCACTTGAAAGGTGATTGGTTTAGGTTTCACCACATCTTCCATCCTTTCTCCTCCATCACATCACTTTCTATACTTGAAAGCCTGCGTACAACCAACGCTTATCCTTCTTTTCCACACCTTTAGATGCACTAACGCCCCAAAGAAGGGTTGCACTCATGATATATGCCGAGTCTTCTTCTCCTTGGATATTTTGAGTCTTCAGCCACAAGTAGATAATGCTAGGCGTTGAAGTTGCCGGTGAGAAGTTGACCCCACAAGTGTGGAAAAGATTGACTCGACTTTGGTGGCTGCCAAAGCAGGAGTTCCAAAACTTTATTCTTTTTCTTCCCCCTAAGCTTCTAGTTAAGAGAAAATAGGGTCAACTCTAACCATCACTGCCTATGTCTCTTTCATGGGCTTCTCACTGCTTCTTTCTTTGAGCTTGATCATGTCTGTTTCACCATGGCAGATCTTTTTATTAGGCTTTATGGCTTAAGATGGAGATTGGAAGGATGGATGCAAGTGTTAACGAAGAGCCTCACTCTTCCGTCGTCTCCTTGCCTCTATCACTTTCTACCACCCCTGGAAAGCTGGTTTTGAGATAAGGATGGGCGGCTGATAGACTTTTCTTAGAGTTGGTGGCGGGACTAAGGTGGGCCACATACTGGTCGTCAAGATCAACCTTGCTACAATTGAAAGATAGTTCCTACATGACAAAGGTAAGTTTATGTCAATAACTCATAGATTTCCATTTTCCCTAGGCAGTGCCATGTGCTTAGGAGGGATGCACCTTTACATCGATTACCATTTAGTTATATAATACATTCTTAACATTCCAACATGTTGACATGCCTTTTACATTATTTTGGAACACTAGAGTAAGGGATGCACCTTTACATTAGGTGGTGTCTTAGTTGATCGATATTGCTTTGATTTTGGGTGTTCCAAACTGTGAATGAATGATAGCCGTTGAATCAACAGCTTCAAATTATGTTTGAAAAATACCTTAGAGATTAGCTATCGAATAGACAAAATATAGAAGATATGATGTGTAGACTAGTTTCGAGTGATAGTGTCAACATCACCGATATTTGTTGGTTATATATTTTGTACAATTTTGTTTGTATTATATTTTTATCAAACAAACTATATTTTAGCTCTTGTATTACTATCTTTTGTCGACGATTTGGATTTGTTGACGAACTGAAATTGTTGATGGTTGTCCATTCTTACATCATCGTTAAGATTCCAACTATCGATGCCCGTATAAAGAAATTAAAGTTGGATGGTAGCACCAAAATGATTGGATATCTCATTGAGTGGTAGCAAGCTAAATCTCATTTTGATGTATATATGATAATCCCAATACAGATTATTTTTGAATCTTATGTTTACTAATATTTTTTGCACAATCTCATTATTTGAATCACCCTTGACTATGGAGATGGAGTAGTCGAGTGAAAGTTGAAGTTGATAACTAAGGACAAAGTAACTATTTATTTATAAATAGCCATTAGATATGAATATGTGTTATATATATATATTTATTGTGCAGGTGTGTAAGTGCTCACATTGACTCTTACTGAATCTTATCCAATTTTAATTAAGAATATCATCGAGGTATAATAATTTAATTTTTATTTATATATTTAAAATATAATATTTTATTTAATATAATATTTTATTTACATAACACACTTATTGGTGAAAAACAAGAATAAGTGTAAAATGTACCTTAATAAAATCAAAAGATTACATTAGATATTTGAAGATAATGGACTTGATCATCTTGTGATCGTCTCGTGGATATTGATATCTCCAACGATGACCTATTGCCTTCCATAGTATATTCTATCACACCTAACATCAGGGATAATCAAGGGTTATTTCGTTAAATAACCATAGGTCGTATAGAATTAAAATATATTAAGTTTTAAACATAACCTATATTTTCTTAGGAATCAAAAATTAATTAAAGAAATATATGACATTAGACGTTGGCGATGGTTAGGCTAGGACTTCGTAATGCACTGTTAGGATTAAGGTGACTATGATGCACCGAGAATTCTTAAGGCTCCTTCTGATTCAGTGAATTATCATCCCATGACAATTTACTCAACTTATCGGCTATGGTGTTGTTAGGCCATTACATCATAATCTATATATGGTACAGGAGATCTAATCCATTAGATCTATCTGCCCTTAGTTACTGTGTATTTATAGTCCCTCATATATCTAATATCCCAGAGATTATATACCGGATATGATGCTGTCAAGCCCATATGAAATCTACTCAAGCCTCGCTCTAATCAGATTCTCTCGGAGAACTCATCATCTCTTAATTCAAATGACTCTAACTAGGGATTTGCTTGAGCGAGAAGATATGAGATATTTCTCTCATGATACTAAGAGCAAATTATCCTTTATTGACACTCAATTGCTCTCGTAAGGTTGGCTACCACTCCCGATATTTGGTTGTGTTAGATTTGAAACTTCTAGACCTATAAGTCTGGTATCAAAAAGTGGAGTATTCATATAGGGCATCATTGGTATCTCAAGTCTAAGGACCAAATACATAACTAGGATTAAGGAACCGTTATTTAATGATGAGGTATTATTAATCATCCAGTATTCTTTGAGTGGATCATTTAGTGAACTCATTCTCTAATGAGTATTTGCATTATATCTCTAGTGTCCCCACATAAGCAGCTATGAGACCAATTGCTTCTATCATATGGACGAGTATATATTATACCGGTCTATCTAGTTATCTCGATGTCCTTCTTGAGCAACCTATGATTGGAAATATTTAGGGTCTGTGTTTATAGGTCAATTGGTCTCATTATCATGATCATGATCCAATTCCTATTATACAGATTCAAGAACATCATAATATATTTATCATCTAATATAAAGTGTGAATATACCATAATAATAATAACCAAAAAGATTATACAACATGTCACATGTGTCATTACTTACGTGATTGACTTGCATGACACTTATAACTTACAATCTCTCATTTGACCTAAATTCAATCACATATATATCTGATCTTCAACAGACCTATCACTCAAAAACACTTATAACTTACAACACAATCTTTTAGATGGAACTCTTTCCACTACTATATCACCATGGGCTATGATCTCTCTAATCAAGTGGAATATCTTCAAAGCGAGATTGGACTTCTGATGAGACATGAGTTCCTTCGCTTGAGCAATTACCCCGCTGTTATCGTAATATAAGGGAATTGACTCCTTGCTGCCCGAGTCGACTCCTAGATCTGTGACGAACTTCTTTATCCAAACTCTCTCCGTTGTTACTTTTATCATGACAATATACTCTACCACTATGGTTGAGTCAATAGTAGTATCTTGCTTAAAACTCTTTCAACTTATTGCTCCTCTATTTATGGTGAACACATACTCTGAGTTAGACTTACTATCATCGATATCGGACTAGAAACTTGAGTCTATGTCATCCTCAAACTTGAGATTATTTCCTCAATATACCAATAAAAGATCCTTAGTCTTTCTCAAGTACTTAAACATACACTTTACTATCTTTTAGTATTCCAAACCTGAATATGCTTGATACCTACTCATAACACTTAGAGTATGCGTTATATCAGACCTGATAGATAGCATAACATATATAATAGATCCTATCGCTGAGGCATAAGGTATCATATCCATGTCTGCCCTTTTTTCAAGTGTCTTTAGGGATATACTTCTAGAAAGTGATATTTCATGTCTCATCGATATGAGACCACTCTTGAAATTTTATCTGTCAAACCTTTTGACAATGTTGTTTATGTACTTGGACTAGGAAAAGCCAAGCATCCTCTTAGATCTATCTTTATAGATCCGAATCCCCAAGATGTAGGATGTTCCCCTAAGTCCTTCATAGAGAAATGTCTAGATAACCAAGTCTTAACTGTAGAGAGTATTCCTACATCATTACTAATGATTATGATGTTATTCGCATCTAGCACTAAGAAAGTGATGGCGCTCCCACTTACTTTCCTGTATACACAAGGCTCGTCTTCGTTCTTAACGAAGTCATCTGATTGC